ATATTTTACTGGGCTTTTTTTTAATGCTAAGCATATACTCTACAACTGAGCTATACCTCCAGCCTTTAGCTACCTTCTTAATTTATTTCATGATATAAGAAATGCAAAGCCTAAGCAGTTGTGACCCAGAGCTGAACGCATTAGGAGTATGGGCTCTGGAGTCAGACAACCTGGAATCAAATGGGAGCTTTACCACCAGCTGTGACCTCAGGCAAATCACTTCATTTTCCCTGTGACTGAGTTTCATTATCTTCAAAAGAGTACCTACCTCAAAGTGTTTTAGAAGTACTATGTAAAAAAATGCCATAAGAGTGGCAGACATGAAGTAAATGCATGATGCCATCTATGACTACCATTATTATGATTAGCCTCAAATTTGCTAACTGATACACCTTTCATTCTATATTCTCATAAAACTTAAGGGAAATGCTATTCTATAATTCTCTAATTCTTAATGAAAACATGCATTGCATATCAGTAACATGCCAGGTTAAACATAGAGTGCTATAAATACCATAGGCAATGAACAAGTTAGCTAAAAAAGTTTTATAGGAACTTAAAGGTACATGTTGTCCTGAACTATGGTAATACATGCCACATGTGTAAAATAAAGCTACAATAATGACAATGCAGGTATCATTAATGAATGAATTCTATTTATGAAATCATTTTAATGGTAGAAATTGCCTTTTAGCTTGAATGAAGTTCTTGCAGAGTTTTAATCAACTACATAGAAAGAATAATGGATGAAAAGAACATGATAATTTGACTCTTGTTCCTGGTTTCATAGTCTAGCTCAACTTAGTACACAGCAGGTACTCAGAAAGGTTTTGTGTGGCCTAAAATATAATGACTGAAAAGCACTCAACACAGGTTCAGAGGAGACATTGCCACCTAGTGAAAAATTGGGCTCATTACCTAGGATTATCAAATAATGCTAACAATTTTCCAAATAAAGTCTTGACCCTACTTTATATACTATATGCATAATCAGTACATGTCAGTATTCAGACCAGATACTGGTAATAAAAAAATGAAGCCTCCATCTTTGCTTCTTTCAAGGATTTTTTTTTAATTAACAGCTTCACAGAGAAAATGGTATTACAGAAAATAAAAAGTTTGATTACTCAAAAGCTAGTATTTCAAGAAATCCAGTGCTGAGCCTCAGTGGCTCATTATAATCTTAGCTACTTGGGAGGTAGCGATAAGGAGGATCGCAGTTCAAGGCCAGCCCAGGCAAATAGTTTGCAAGACCCTACCTTGAAAATATCAAAAACAAAAAAGGGCTGGTATGGTGGCTCAAGTGGTATAGTGCCTGCCTAGCAAGCATGAGGCAAATCTGGTAATAAGGCAGCTTAGTATTTTAAGAGTAAGCATGGATTTGTAGACCAGACTGTATAAAATGTAATAACACCAGCATCGATGTCATAAAATTCTTGTAAAAATTTAAATAGATACATGTAAAGTATTTAAAACAGTACCAGAACACAGAAAGTGCTATGTAGGTACAATAGTTATTCTTAAATGTAGAACTGCATCCTACAGACTCAAGTAGACAAATATTGATCAATAATAAACATTAATTCTAAACTCTGGCTTCATAACATTAATCAGTAGAAGTCGTTTCTCTGATTAGGACTTTGTTATGGGAATCCTAAGAGTACATTATTTGTGGTACTCTGTGACTAAATTTTGTATTACTAGATGATTAACTCTCTCAACATCAGGCAAATAAAGCTGACTTCTGAAAGTAAAAATTGTATTTCTTACCAAAAAAAAAGCAAAAAGTCAGTAGAATGAAAGGCTCAAAAGACCACAACTTGAACATATGCTTAACAGGGAAAGACACTTGCTGACTCTTCACAGATTTTGCTAGAACTGAAAGATGAGTGATACATTTAGCTACCACTGTGGTCTCATTCACAACTTATCTTACAAAAAAATAGAATCACTTCTTTTTCCTTGAAAATTATCAGAAGCTAAGAAAGGCTAATTAAAAATCACTTGTGTTCTTTATCTTTTGACAAATCTATATAAAACCACATGTAAACTTTATTTTCAAATAATATATTTGAGCAAAATATTCTATATTAAAAAATAAAATCTAGGGCTGGGGCGTGGCTCAAGTGGTACTTTCTTAGCATGTGTAAGGACCTGAGTTCAAACTCCAGTATTGCCCCAAAATAAATAAATGAATAAATAAATAAAAATAAAATATATAGCAAAACTATGATAGGTCAATTAAACATTAACTTGTCAATGAAAACTTTAAAGACTATTTGATGATTCTGGTCTAAATTCAATGAGGGAAGTATTTCAGAGCCTGAAATACTTTATATTTCTCATGATGTACACCATATGTAAGCACTGTGCTAATGCGTGGATGCCTGAGGTTATTTAACTTCTTCCAAAGCTTCCTCTTTTTAAAAACAGACAACAAAGAGTTGGGAAAATGTATTGAGACTTCATGAGTTTTTAATTTTTTTGTAAAGGTGTTAGTGTATCAAGAATTGTGCTTTAAATATGTTGCACAAAATGACTTTAATTTCATGAATTACAATTACAACATTTTTATTTCTAAAATGGTAATGAAAATCTTTCCTCCTCCACATTAAAACAACATGGATATAACATGTTTTATGTATTTATTGTATGATATAATCAACCTGGTATAGAACATACTTTAATAAATAAAAGGAAAAGGCTGACTAACAGAGTAAAAGAGTGAGGGAGAAAAGTTCCATTCCACAGAGATGCTTATCAGCATAATAAAGCCTAAATTCCTATAAAGCCAAGTGTGTACAGGTAGATGACAACATGGTTAATCTGTGGTTTGATTTAATAAGGTATTTATGAGTTTACAAGGCACTTTGACAGTCACTGTCACACAGTATCCTCACAAGTAACTCTCTTAGGTAAGGCAGGTTGTGCTAGCTAGTGCTAGTAGTACTCTTAAGAGATAAGGGAATGGAGCCTCAAAAGGCAAGAAGCTTATATAAGTTCACTGAAGTAACAGAACAGGATTCTGATCCCCATGTTATTATTGTACCACTAAAATGCTATGCTCTTTCTGAGCAAGGAAATCCTCCTATCAATGAAAAAACAAACTGTTCAAAGAAAACAGAGCAGAATTTCAATTTGGATTTGTAGAAAAATTTCAAAAGTCTAAAAAGCAAATTCAAAATTGAATGAAGACTCTTGTGAAACCTAAGAATCTGTAGAAATAACTGAGCTGCCTATTTCCTGTGTAACAGCTCCAATTTGAAAATACTTAAATATAACTCTCTTTGCTTATGATTTGCCCCTTTAATGATTTAGAGGGGGTATGAATAAAAGAAATGTTTCAGGATACATGTTAGAACTAGATATTGATGATTTGAGAAATGGGTCTTTTTATAATCAGGCAGTGAGTCAATGTAAATGCAATTCTGCTGCTTGAAAATTCTATCATTAGTGTTTTAACTTGAATATGAATCACAGTAATTATTTTTTCTCTATATAGTTCTCTCAATTTTTGGCGGTACTTGGTTTGAACTCAGGTCCCCATGCCATGCCCCCAGATTTTATACAGTTCTTTAACATGAGATAAATCTTGATTTTGCACACTATCTTCTACAATAATTTACCAGGAAAGGTATAATATAATCCATACTATGATACAAAAACTTCAGGTTTATACCTTAACTCAACTGTCTAATAATAGCACTTATCCTAACATTAACTAATTCAGTATGTACTAACTTTCATATTTCAGTAATTCAAAGTATTTTGTTCAAATAGTTCTACATTAATGTTACTTATATACATACATATATATGTAATATATATTAGGTTTTTATAACTATACATGTATATAAGCCACCCCAGCTTATGAAAAATAGTGAATGATGGCCAGTTGTGGTGGCTTATATCTGCAATCCCACCTACTGCAAAGGTGGAGATCTGGAAGATCGTGTTTTGAGGCCAGCCCTGGCAAAAAGCTAGTAAGACCCTATTTCAATAAGCAGGGTACAGTGGTGCATGCCTGTCATCCCAGCTATGCAAGCTGAGGTAGGCCCTGGGCAAAGAAGCAAGATCCTGTCTGAAAAATAACTAAAGCAGGAAAATGATGGGGATGTAGCACAAGTGGCTGAGTGCCTGCCTAGCAAGCACAAGGTCCTGAATTCAAATCCCAGTACTGGCCCCCCCAAAAGCTTAAAAACAAAAATATAGTGAGTGATGATGTGTAATATTCTAAACAAAAAATATCTTTCATTATTGTGCAAGAACAGATGGAGAAAATGGAATTGCAGTTTTGAGACAAAATGCATTATTAAGATAATGTAAAATAGTAAAATACTAATTTCAGGATAGAAATCAAAGATATATATGGAAAATAACGTAAATACAAATAAGTCTTAGAATTCCTGAAAACTGTATCCAACTTTAATTTTCTTGCAATTCTCAGAATGATAGTATAGTGTAACTTTATAGTTAAAAGACATTAGATTTCTAATTCTATTGCCTACATTTTATGTTAAGAAACTCCAAACTACAATTTACTAAAACTATGTTCTTAAAAGTAAAAATAGAAATACAGAATAAGAAATTAATTCAATATTCAACTGAAAACATTAAAGATTCACATTCCTATGTATTATTTACCTTTTAAATTTAAATTCAGTTGCCATATTCTCAGATAATTTTTAGGTGAATTATATTTATTCAACCTGATTTACAAAGTAAGTAATAGCAACTTTTCTGTGATTCCAACATAAGAGCACAACCATTAAGTGTATTTTTGCCAACATTTAAAATCCATCCTAATCATGCTTATAGAAAAATAAAATGTTATAACATCATAATAATATAATCCATACAATCTTTTTGGCTCTTATAGTATGTTCAAGAAAGTTTTTTAACTCAAAGTATAATAGACTTCACAGAGCTCATGATACCTGGTCCATTCTACAGGTAAATGTTACTATAAATATTCTTTACTTCTCAAGCTGTGGACTTACCATGGAAATCATAAATATAAAGAAGAATTGGCTCATTCTGCCCAAATGCACAAAATGCAACCATATTTTCAAATGGATGGTAAGAAATGTCTCGAATGGGTGACTTAAATGGCAGGTCAGAATATACTGCTACTTGTTCTCCTAAACAAAAAAAGAGGCAAAGATTCAATAACTTGTATTTTGTCAGGTATTTCTCTTTACATGACTATTATTCTGCAAATTATTTGAAAATATTTATAGTAATGATGAAGTTCATATTAGTTAACATGAAAACCTTGAATACTTAGAAGTATTTGAGCAGCACAGCATTAAACAATTACCTGTATTTTAAATTTTTAGGCCTTTCTCTTTCTACTTTTCAATCCAACCTTTTCCAAGAGGTTTCAAAGGCGCAAAATGAACACAAAGTGCTTAGAAGGAAGTAGAGAGGTATATGATTAAGATCTGAAAGAGGTGAGCAAATTATAACTAACAAAGAACTGGGGAAAAGTAGGGGGGAAATTGTAAACCTCTAAAACTAAAGAAACATGCCAGTCAGGGGAAGACTGGTGAGGGATTAGTTTTTCTATCTTGCTTTTTCCTAGAGGCTGCCTGCAGTACAATACCATATACTTGAAAAATACCTATAATTATGGCTAAAAGATGTCTATAGCACAAGTCAGTGGAAGCCAGGACAACCAGAAGTCAAAAAAGCAGAGTTCAGATCCACATACAGAAGGGGAAGAGCAACCTGATGCTTCTAAACTGATACTAAAACATAGTGTAGGGGAAAAGAACAAACCCTCAGTGAGCCAACTAGGAAAGAACAATTAAGAATAAACAAGATGAAACCAAATACTGTTCATTAAAAAGATTTTTAAAATTCTCTGATAATGCATCAACAATATCGAAATACTAATTATCTGTGCAGGTAGAGGATATAATGATATGGGGGGTTGGAGGGAAGGGGTAAGGGGGAGTAATTAAGGGGATGAACAGACCAAAGTAAAGTAGACTTACAGAGGGGATACATCAAGAAACCCCTTCGAACATTGACTGAGGAATTAATAAGGAAAGACAGGATTATAAAATAGGCACAGTGCGTGTGTTGGGGGTACTTTAAGAAGGGGGGATGAACAAAGGAGGTGAAGGTTGATGGACTTCAGATACTTATACAAAATAGAACAATGAAAGGTCTTGCAATTGCTGTATAAGTGTGTGTGTGAGTGGAGATGGTGGAGGCAATATAACCAATGTACAATGGAAGGCTATGAATCCCCCTGTATAACAAATATATCCCAGTTAAAAAAAAGGATTTTTAAAATTCTGTGAATTTCTTTTTAAAAATGTTCAAGTAGTTTTAGTTTTTCTTTTGCAAAACAAAGGTAAAGCACAAATGCACTTCAATGATGTAATAGGTTAGTTTATTTGATTAAAAGTAAATCGTAGTAGGTAAGTGTTAATTAAGTTTCAGACATCAAAGACTCACAGGAATATTTTTGTTGCTAATCAAAAATATGTCATAAATGCTTAAAAATGTATCTAATTACAATTCAATTTATAACATTTTGGATTTTGCATTATAGTTCTAATAAATGCTGCTCTAAGATCAGGAGTATATTATAAGGAAGGAAAGAATAAACCTTGAATTATTATATGAAATTCTAAGTCTATGAAGGTTCAGAATAAGAATAGGATTTAATATAGATTTAGGCTACAGCTCAGTTCCATCAAAGGTTATCTAATTTTAGAAACATAATTAAAAACCTGAAATCAGAATTTTCTTAAAAATTTTTCCATAATATAGTAATTTTCACACTTTTTCAAACTCCATTCTCACTCCCCCAGAAAAGATTTTGAAGATCAATAAATACAAACCTGTTTCTGGGTTCCAAACATATACTACACCATCCTCACTTCCAGCAAAAAGAAAGGTCCCACATGGTGTCAAAGTGCTATGAATCTTCTCCCGGTAATTTGCTGCACCTACAAATTTCCTTGCTGCTAATCTATAAACCAAAAACATTATACAAATATAACCTATTTTAATCACTTAAAAGCGTAGTAGTAGAAAACTTTTCCTTTTAAGTACTTAATTTGCATATATAAAACTATTTTTGAGGATCTATTATATGGTAGACATTCTATAATGGATACAGAATAAAGAGCTGGTCTCAGGAATCTTAGAAGTAAGCAGGAGAGAGAAGAGATATATTAATATAAAACAGAAGATGGAAGTATAAGTACCACAAATGAAAAAGTAATTTGCAGATCAACTCACATTTAACAATGGCAAAAATAAAGGCTACAGAGAACTTTTGATATCCTTCAAGAAATGGACAGAATCCTATATTCTTGTATTTTATTCCACCTAATGAATTTTTAAAATCACATAAATACCTGATCCCTGAAGAAATAATGCAATACATATTATTAAATCATCTAAAATGTGATACACAAATCTTCTAGACTTTTTCACTTATAAATAAAAATTAATATTGCTTCAGTGCTTCTTATATGTCATGTAGGATATTAGATACCCTGCTCTGTAACCTGTTTTCACTTAACAATAAATCATGAACAGTGAATGAAAAACACAGATGTTGAAAATATAGATGATGCAGTATCATTTTAATGGGTATGTATTTTCTCTCACTGGAGAGACATTTAGGATGTTTCTAGATTTCCCCAATCATAATCATTTCTATGAACAATCTTATGTGTATATATTTACACTATTTTACATTACAATTATTTTATTAATATAAATTTCCAGACCTAGAATTACTGGGTCAAACATTTTTGGAGTCCTTGGTATTTATTTTACTGTGCAAATTCTCTACTTATGTTAATTAGTATATTCCTCCACAAAACCCTTGAATATGGCATATTATTTGTCCCATCTGAGAAATGAGGAAAGACAGACACAAAGAATATGATGTGAAAAGGCAGTATCTCACTCCAAGCACTCTAGAACCCAGGCAGGGTTTTGTACTGCTTAAAAAGGAAATTAGTTTGTCCTTCTAATCTGGTTCTAATTTCTATTTTTAAAAACATTCCTCTCAGTACTCCTTGTCAAGAAACCTATGCTCACATGGACTGTCTTCTTTGCCTTTGAACATATTATCCCACTTCTGAACTTGATTACGTTTTTCCATACTACTGAAAAGTTTCCATCTTATCTAAATTCTACCCATCCTTCAAGATGGAGCTCAAGTGCCAGCCTCTCAACAGATTCTTTAACAGAAAACTAAATTATAGTTGTCAGTTTTCCTGTTGTCGTAAAATATATAATTCACTTATCATATGTTTAGCTTCATTACAGAACACATACTGAGAACTTGCTATCTGCCAATCAAGACATGGATGCTATGCATAGAAAAAGAATAAACAGATTCCAAACCTAGAAGAGCTCCTATTTTAGTAAAATTAAATGTTTTCTGTGTTATTTTAGAGGGGTGCAACTAGACTATAAACTTGGTTAGGACTAAACCTACTATCCTTCTCCCACAGCACCCATGACAGGGTCTTGAACTGTTCTATGTAAATACTGAAGAGCTTAACATTCTGAGACACTTGCAAAATCAAATTAATGTAGATTACCACTTTCTCTTTCTAAATACAATAAGGAAATCTAGTTTTTAAATGCCACAATGTACCCCCAAATAGCACAACAAAAAAAAAAAAAAAAAAAAAGGAAATCTAGTAAAATAACCTTCACTCATTTGTGTAAACAGGAACTCTAACAGCAATGCAGAAGCATCCTAGAAGTCCATGCTGGTTTTGCCAGAATTCTGCTCTTTTATATTAAAGACAGTTATATTCTGTTGCCTTTATTTAGAAATAAAATAAAGAAAAACAAGGATGTATTAACCAAAACCCATATCCTTCAGTTATATTATGTCTTGTAAAAAATTTATTATTGTATATATTAGAGGTAAAAGGTATTCCCTCACCGTGGAAGGTGCAAGTTTCTGCTTTTAATTGTGAAAACTGAAAGCAACTGATTATATTTCAGCTTCAGAGTTGTTCACACAGAGCTGGATAATTCTCTGTTGTGGGTGTTTTATGAAATGTAGGATACTCAGCAGTATATCTGATCTTTACCCATTAGATACTAGAAGCAACATCAAAAATGTCTCCAAACACTGTCAGATGTTCCCAAGGGGCAAAATTGCCAATTCAGAACCATTTCTGCATTTTATAAGTATAGAATAACTCATTGCTTGTTTTATGAGTACTTACCTGTTGATACTAAAATATACTTACATTCGGAGATCCATAATTCTCAAAGTACTGTCTTTGGTATGGATCAGTAAACGTTTTCCATTGGGATGAACCTTCAAATAACTTATTGGAATTCCCTTAAATTCAGTTTCTTTAATTTCCTAAAATGATTTTTTAAAAAGTCAAAATATTGGCACTGAAAAGTCTGTCTAACATTGAACCCTCTTTAGGGTACAAAATTAATTTTAAAGCGCTATTTTCAATTCCACTATATTGGACACATAAAGAAAAATACCTTAAAAATATTTCAGGTTTTCACTTATATGTAGAATCTAAAACATACAAAAAAGAAAAATTCAAATACACAAAGAGGTCCTCGCTTTGGCAGCACATATACTAAAATTGGAACGATACAGAGAAGATTAGCATGGCCCCTGAGCAAGGATGACACGCAAATTCGTGAAGTGTTCCATATTTTTCTTACATTTGGAGACCATGAACTGGTCATCCATGTCACACGCCTGGTTCTTCCTATGGATGATTCTGAACCTGTGTTAAATTCATTAGATGATACGAGACACAGCCCAGCCTAAGCCTATTAATACTTAATGGTTTGTAAAATTTGCACATGATTGTGAAGAAATTTGTACTACCTAAAAAGTCCTACTGCATGTCTCTGAATGTGTAAGCTATATAAATGTTATTTATATGGCATAGAAAGAATATAAATATCCTGTAAAGGCAGACTGTGAACAAACTATTCGTTTAAGTTTTTCTGGATGCACTGTGTAGATGGGATCTGTTTTAGAAAATTACTTTCACAGTTATGTGTGTTCTGTTAGCTTTATGTTTCAGTTAAAAGTATTAAAAGCGATGGAATTGCTAAAAAAAATACACAAAGAGGCTACTAGAAGCTGAAGTGTGGAAGAGATAGGAAGATGTAGGTCAGAAGACACACAGTAAGACAAATCTACAGATTTCGTGTGCAACATGAAGTCTACAGGTAATAAAACTGTACTCAATATTGTATTCATGCTACATGTATAGATTTTAGCTGTTTTTATCACAAAAAAACCAAAAAACAAGTATCTGACAAGATACATGTTTATCTGCTTCACTATAGTAACCTGTTTACTATCTGTATATATCCTCGTAACACCATGCTGTATTCACTTTTAAAGAAAGAAAAAAAATAGGTAGCAATAGCAAAGGTTTTTCCTTGTTTCGATTGCTAGGAGAAGGGAAAAAGACTGCCAAACAACTTAGGCTAAAATCCAGAGTCCAAGAAAAGTCCCTTTTCTGCAGAACTCTGAATTAGGTACCTTTTCCCTCAAGACCCCTTGTTGATTTTTGCTCCCTTTACCTAGAAGACTCCCCTTTAGAGGAAGACTGGCACCAGCAGTGGTGAGCTTCAGTACTGCTACAGTCCTAATATTAGCAGCTAAGTCCCTGCTTTTTTAACCTAAGACCTGCTGCCAGCAATTTTCAAAAAGTTACAGAAAACGTTGAAACACTGACACCACAGATGGGGATTTTAGTCAGCTAATAATCTATTACAAATCTTAAGTGGGGAGACACTGGTAGAAATTTGAGCAACTACAACAGATACAAAAGTTCAAAATCAAAACTGCAAACAAGCATTAAGTATAAATTTGAGAAAGTTAATGGCCGATTTACTGTTGTTGTAACTGATGAGTTCCTCCATATTTTTCTTTATCATATTTGCACACAAACTAACAGCACATAGGCCTTTCATTTTAAGAGACAGGTGAGTTCAGCAGCACTCCCCGCACTGGTGGCTAGATAGAGCAAAGTATGAAATCACAGTCTCCTTGGTGTCATGGCATTTGCTAGACATTTTAGCTCATTTTCTAACTTTTTAGTTTTGACTGTCTGAAGTAATGACTAAGGTGTAGATTTTCAGGTAAATTTGTCTCTTAATTACTATATTATGGTAATTAAACACATGAATTTTATAATAAATTCTGCACTGTAGAGTAAAACGATTGAAACTGGTGCCTTTGGGTCTTGCCAATCCCTCGGACATGTAGGTATTTAGTTATTTTCAAAGTGTGTGAAATGAGGCTATATGATGAATCTCAAGACATCATTTGTTAATCTGACAGACCAGATAGAAATGACTAAAATTAGAACAGGGTTTTTAAAAAATAGATCTGATACACTGGATAGATTTAACTAAAGCTCATCAACATTCTTTTTTTTTCTTTTATTCATATGTGCATACAATGTTTGGGTCATTTTTCCTTCCTTCCTACCACCACTAGGGTATCTTTTTTTTTTTTTTTAAGAGAACTATTGTCATAACCTATTATGAACAATGAAGAACAAAGGAATAACATATTAGACAGAAACCACATTCACTTCTATCAGGTTGCCAAATTTCAACTTTGAAACAATTATTGTGATTAAATGACAGACCCCTGTCATAACTGAACAATTTTGAAAGAAAGCACTGTTGACAAAGCACTGATCGTGCTGGTTTTAGTGACATGTTACTGGAGCAAGGAAAAAAGGGCTTAAATAACAGAAAAATAGTTACTGATGGATGGTAATAAAACACATATCTCATTGTAACATAAATTTCAGCTAATACCATACTGTTAATTGGGGTTCAAAATACTAAAAGGGGTTTGGGGCTGTAGCTCAATGGAAGAGCACTTAGTTTGTATGCTCTAGGCACTGAGTTTGATATCTAACATAAATGAACAATGAATAAACAAACAAACAAACAAGACTGAAAGTAAAGCCTGGTCAAGGTGAAAATCTTCATTAAATTATTATCAGTCAGCTATCAGGAAGACGTGATAATTAATGATAATTGACTTTTTAGGGGTTGAGAAAAACGTGTTCATTTTCTGAAAAGACAGCACACAAGATGACTATCTTAAAATCAGGTGACTGAATTGTTACCTTATTTATAGTCCAGTGGCGCACTGAATGCTGCAAATCATTAGCTTTCACGTAAGTATTCCAAACAACAATCACCCCTGTGCAATCTCCTGAATACATGTGATGACCTATTTAAAAACATGAAATTACTCATTTAATGTCACAGAGTTAGAAATAAATGATATGAAGCTGAGGGAAACCATAACTCAGTAAAACAGTCAAAGAATTTAAGGGTTACTAAAAGGTGTATCAGTTTTTAAATGTTTCAAACCAAGATGACACTCACAAACTAATCTCAAAATTTTTTATTGAGTTCTTCCCTCTTTTAAATTATTTTTGATGACTTATTTCCCTTTGTCACTTGCTTGAATCTGAATACAAAAAAACTAGCATCTCAGTGCATGTGTGTATGACCCATATTCCCAAGCCAAACTATGTGAATTATCTAACATGTATTCCAGGTATTCCTCATCTTTATTAACCTATCTAATCTTCTTCATATGGCTAGGAAAATACTTACATTCTAATATATACTGTTCAGTAAAAACTCAATGAAGGATCAGGGAATGAATAAAATTAAAAAAAAGTGTTAACATCTTAACATTAATTCTTTAGGGTTAAAACATCTTAAAATTGAGTGGGACCTCAAAGACCAAGTTCACCTTCACAGCCATGTAGGAATATCTTATGCATCATTAATACCAGACGGCTGTATGGCAGCTGTGAATTTAATATTTTACAAAATAGCTTATTTAACTGGTGAACAGGTCCATGTGTTAGAATGTTCTTTCTAATTCTAAGCAAAGGAAAGACTGTCTTCTACAGCTTGGCCTCACTGCTACCTGCTAGAATGACATGCAACGATGTGTCCCCTTTTGTTTTTATATTAGCATATCTTATGGCCAAATATGTCAAAAACATTACCTCTATTTTATAATCTGAGCGACTTCCATAATGAATAGTTTTCAGACACCTTCTATTCAGGGCCTTTCCTGAATAGGTTTTACATTTATTAACGTCCCTATAGCTCAACTGAGTATGCTGGAGTACTATCATTTTGATCTGGATCCCACTTTAGTTAAGGACAGCTACAATCATGCCTAATCTCTGAAATAATATAAAAAGTGACAATATAATAAATTTCTTTATTCTTTCAGCTAACAAAATAACCTGTATTTTACATGTTTAAAAAATCATCTATATTATTCATATGCTATGGGAAACCTTTAAATAGTTGCAAATTTTCCTTCTATGCTTATGTTCTTTAAAAATCCTTTTGCTACATTTATCATATATGTATTTGCAACATTCTTTTGATATTTTCACCACTTCCTGAATTTTGTACCCTTTAACTTAAAATGTACTTAAAAATAACTTAAGAATGATAATTCCCAACCCAAATAAACACATTTATAAAATTTAGTACATGACTGGTGATTACAGCAAAGAGTAAATGAATCTAAATGTTTAGTAACTTACTAACTTTAAATTTTCACTCAGTGCCAAATCTATGTGACTTGCAAAACAAGAACATCTTAACTATGTACAAATAATATTGATACATAAAATTCCTTTCAAGTTTAAATAACTATTAGTGAAATAAAAATTAAAATGAATTTTTCATTTAACTAACTTTCATATGGAACATATTCTGTGACGTACCTTCATCATCAAAACAGACAGAGTTTATAAAACTCTTGTGAGCATCAACCTGTCGGACCAGTGTGGCTACATCTTCTTTCATATCAACTTTCCATATCCGAATTATAGAATCATAGCATCCTGTAACCACCAGCTCTCTTGTAGCAGGATGGAACTTAGCCGTGTAAACAAAAGAAGGGTGAGGCAAAACTCTGAAAGTATTTGTATTGTTTATTTCATTTTTCCATATCCTGGAAAAAGGATTAAAATTTTACATACTGCTTCTGAAAGGCAGAAATTTCTTTTAACAGTTTTTCTAAGCACCAGTATAGCCAATGAGCTTGACAAACACTGAGAACAACCAAAGGTAAGCTAGTATTTATAACAATAAAATCATGATGATGGTCACATATTTCATGTCTGAAATTGTTTATATTTAGACAAAGCTATTCTTGTTATCAAGCATCTATTTTGCTTGAAAACTATGGAGAGGGACTTTTAATGATTTTCCATTTAGGATGTGTATATTATTTTTGCAAAATGCTTACTAGTGGAGGTTTGGAGAATAGGATTCTCCATTAACTTCTGTACTTGTAATTTCAAAGCCTACGTTACAAACATGAAGATCTCAATGACTTAAGTCATACTGAAGTTACTTTGAACTCTTGAGTAAAATGAGATTGAAATAATAATAAAATTGTTTAGAAAACACACTCTCCTACATTAAGCACCACCATTATGTTTAACAGTTTTTTTACCTCTTTTTGTAAATAATGGCTGATTTATCTTTAAAAGTTATCACTGCTACAGTAATGACCAATGCAAAAAACCTAAGGGTTAAACTGCTTTGTTAGATACTCACATTTCTAGCAATATGTCAAAAATAGGTAAAATCTAACAACCACCAGGAGCTATGTGGAACAGTGGATTTTTTATGTTTGATTAAATTATGAGAATTAATAATTTTATAATTCATCTTTTTAATTACTGCATAAGACTTAAAAGAAATTAAATCCTTTTCCAAATTATAAATAAGAGAAAAATACAGCTGGCTATTTAAGAATAACTATGAGTTTTCTCAGTGGCTACTTAAAATATAGGATATGATCTTCACTTACTACAAATCTAAACTAATGAAGGAAGTGAAAGAACATGTTTTCAAGTGAAAATAAAACACATGTACCATTACATAAACATTTTTACCACAGTAACGTTTTCAATGAACATATGCTACATGAAATAAGATATTTACTAAAAGAACAAAATTGCTAATTTGAAGGAAGTATTAAGATAGTTAAAAAAAAAAACCTCAGTTGCTTGTTAATAAACCTTAGAGGTATTATTTAAAATACTATATAACCTAATGAAATGAAGAAAACAACTCAATAGAATTAAAATATACAATATTTCTAAAGCAAAAATGAGCTTTTTGTATAAAAACTGAACAGTTATCAGCAATGGCTTTTGTTATTCAAGCAATGGTAGAATCCAACATCAAAAGAAATGTGCTAATGGGTTTGGAGTAAAATGAGGTTGCTCATAAAGAATAAGGAAATACAAATTTGGAAAGACTGGATGAACACATACACAGACAAAACATGGTTAAATTTGGTAAAGAAAAAAGATACCAAAGTTAAAACAGTATGTATGAGGGGGTATGGCAGGAACACATGGGCCTACTGGAGAGCCACTACACATGGAAAAGCCTTTCTGACTGTTCTGGAAGCTGTTGATTTGAGAACAACAGTTTATTCTAAAGAAGGGGATGTAGGCTAAAGCCAGGTGGCAGAGAGCTAGTTAGTGGTAAACAGTACTTAGTAAATACTAATGAAAACCTGTGACAGTGGTCCCCAGAGAGATAGAAGGAGAAGATAGGGAGAGATTCTTCATTTCTAAGCACTAGCAATTCTAGTTCTCTTCCTTTTGACATCAGCCTCCTCATTGCAAGTATTCTTGCATCTCTTTCAAAAGCCTCCTTATCTTTTTAGTTTTAGCCACTATGCTTCTCTCTTTATGCAGTAAATGCTTTCACAATATTTTGTGACACAGAGTCCAAATTAACATCAATTTTTAGGCTGAAAAGAGAAAAGCACTCACTATATGCACTTCACTATAATATATTACATGTTGTATGGATGAGCCCAAAATGACTTCAAGAAATGGTAATATTTGAGCTATATTTTATATGATGATTACAAGCTTCCTATGGCTCACAAAAGACACTTAAATTTTGTTGAATGAATGAGTTAGACAGAATGGTTAGGAGAGGGGCATTTAAGTTTAGGAAGAGTCAGGTAAAAGGACATGAAGATGCCAAAGGAAAAAAGATGACTAAGGGATTTCAAAAGACCGTGTGGATAAGGCAAAATGACAAATGATGAATAGGAGGACAGTGTAACATCAATGAGGCAATGTCTATCACACCATGCTAAGAAGAAACTGGGACATTTTCAATAGGCAATGGGTACTTAAAGACTTTTAGAGTCAAAGTACTATGAAAGATGATTTCAGAAAGATAATTGTAGGACAGCAGAGACAGAGGACCTAGAGACTGAACACAGGAAAGTTTAACAGAAACAACTTAAGAGAGAAAAGGGGTTGAAATAAGGCAAACACATAAAGGATGGGAAGGATGTGATACAATAGTGAGTCTTTTAAGGAGAATTGGCAGACTTCAGTGTTAGCTAGATGTAGAAAAGAATGATAGGACAAAAAGGATAAGCACTATTCTGAATTCCCAGCTTGGGAGACAGGGTGGATAAGGATGATACACACATACACTCTCTCTTTCTCTCTTTCACACACACACACACACACACACACACACACACACTCATAAATACACACATGACTAAAGGAGAAAAATGAAATTTTGGAAGCTTAGTAAATTTGGTTTGGGATTTGAAGTGGCACTGGGCCATTCAAATGGAAATGTATAATAGAAAAACAAACTCAAAAAAAGGATGGGGATGGAAGTCCTTAGAATAATACATGAAATTCAAAGCTGGAGAAGGTAAGAGAAACTACACACACAACCAGGAGAAGGACCCTGGGAAACACAGAGAACTGGCAGAAGGAAAGGAACAAAGAAAAAGGGATTGAATAGAATTGATGAATCATAAAAAGAAACCAGAGGAGGCTGTTAGTGAAAATATTTCAAGACTGGTCAATAATGAATTGCTGCAGTGGAGGCAAACAGAATAGGGACTAAAACTGGAAATGCATCTAAAAATTAGTAGAAAACTGCTGATCTCTTAAGGAAAGAAGTTTATATAGTATGTGGGAATGAGAACCACAGCAACGGGCTTAAAGACAATATGTGTGCAATTTTCTTGATAGTGTAGAAATAAAGAAAATATGGTTGTCTAGAAGGCAGAAAGAACTGAGAAAAACATCATTTATTTAGGATATGGAGATTTGAGCATATTTCTAGTATGAGAGGATAAACTCAACAAAGAAGAAGATACTAAACAGACCAGAGGGGTAGGAAGTAATAGAATTACAGGTTAAGGGACTGAGTTTATTAAAAGCACAGGTTAAAGATTAGTCTAAAGGAATCCATTCTCATACTGCTTTGTTAAGAAAGAGACAGAGATATATGGGTACCTTTAGAGATATCAGGAGGGAAACCAAAGGAAATACAGGAAGTTCATATCTGGTTAAATTTAGTTATAAGTTGAAAAAGAAGTAATCTAATAAAAGCTGGAAGAGTATAATTTAGTGCAGAGAACTTGATGTTGGCAGAAGAATGAGAAAAAGGAGCTGAATAAAGATAAGCAAAAAGACTGCTCAGCAGGGACAAGAGCTCAGATGACAAGAAGAGAGAGTATTAATCTGATCAAAGTATAGTATATGCATGTGTGAAACACCACTAAGAAACCCTTATATAATTAATATACACTAATTTAAAAAAAAAGAAGACTTAAAAATCCAGTCAAGTCTCAGCAAAGTTATGTACTTTTCTCTAGCATTACCTGGTACTAGAGAGAACAACTGTGCTAAAAGAACAGCTCAGGTAAGTTCCTGAAGATATCCTTAATGGGGAATAATAAGTTCCTAGGTAACAGAGAGGGAGGTCAAGTCTCACTAAATGCCATCTTTTTCATTTAAGTATAAACTAAACAACAAAGATAACATCTTGACCAGTAGACATTTTAACTACAAAAGTAGATTGATTAGCAGAAGAAGGGGCCTAGGTACTAGAAGTCACATGACATGTTAAGAGAACAGGAGGCAGAGGAGGTAAATCAGAGTGAAGTCAGTATAGATCTCAAAATGCTTTAAGTACCAGTTTCCTAGATTATAGAAAGAATGGATATCCACTTACTAATTGATGTAATCAAATTAAACAACATATACAAAAAGAAAAGAATCTTTTTTTTTGTAGTACTGGGACTTAAACTCAGGCTCTACACCTTGAGCCACTCCACCAGCACTTTTCTGTGAAGGATTTTTTCTCTTTTATTTATTTATTCCTTCATTCATTCATGTGTGCATACAATGCTTGGGTCATTTCTCCCTCCTCCCCCCCGCCCCCAATCACTTGCAACCAGGCAGAAACTATTTTGCCCTTATCTCTGATTTTGTTGAAGAGAGAGTATAAGCAATAACAGGGAGGAACAAGGGTTTTTCCTAGTTGAGATAAGGATAGCTATGCAGGGAGTTGACTCGCACTGATTTCCTGTGCATGTGTGTTACCTTCTAGGTTAATTTGAGATAGGGTCTTACAGAACTATTTGCCTGATCTGGTTGGAACCGTGATCCTCCTGATCTCTGTTCCTGAGTCAACAGGATTACAGGTGTGAGTCACTGGACACTTGGCACTAAAAAGAATCTTGAAAATTTGTCTGTAGTATTTTCAAATCACAATCAAGTTTGAATGAGCAGGTGAAAAAAGTATAAATAAAATTTTGAAAATTACTTTTAAATGTTTTATTGAGTCAAGTGTGGTGGTACATGCTTCCAATCCCAGCGTTCAGGAGACTGAGGCAAGAGGATCACAAGTTTGAGGCCAGCCTGGGCGACATAGAAAGACCCTGCCTTGAAATAAATAAAATATCTTATTGTGATACTTATTAAATTTAAAGGGGATAGCTTAAGATTGACACTGTGAAAAGTGTAAGTATCTAACCATTTATGAAACTGTTCAAAACATAAAGTGCTGGTAGAGGATCCAAAATGGTGACTGGGACACAGATGCAGACAGTGTGAACTCTGTGAATCAGGGATCTTGCTGAGATGCTGGAGCCAC